TCCTAACGCCGCTGCGGCAGATTGGGCCGAAACTGAGACGCGACCAAATGGCTCTAGAACCTGAGCTGCACGTCGGTTTTATTCCCTAACTGTTCTCGGAGTCTGGGTCGGGGAAGGTGGCCATTGAATGTTAGCAATGGAATTGGCCTAAATGAGTGAGGTAACAGAAACGGCCAGAGGAGGTACCTCCCTGAGCCATGTGCAAATACAGTTCCTTCAGCAGAAGGAAGTCCTTTTCCCTACTGAAAAAATAAAACACATTCGCTTAAAGAGCACACAGACTGCAGCAAGGAAAGGCAAGCAGGGACAGCACCAGGTCAGTCCATCTATGACACAGGGAATGATTGTCCGGCAGCGAAGGCGTGAGGGGAGAGGGAGAAGCCACAGCAAGCACTGCGAAACGGGTGTGGGAGAGGAGGGCGCGGCATGCCACGTATCCATGCTACGAGTTAAAGCCCATGCTGTCTGGCTAGATCGGGAAATAATCTCGGTCGGCAGTCCGTCAAGACACGAGGAGATTATTTGGCCAGTGTGCACATCTAGAAAAAGAAAGGTATTATGGCACAGAGAGACTCGTGCTGTAGAGACTGCAAAGCCCAGAGAGATCGGAGCGCGCCAGGCAGGGGGGAACGGGCCGGAAAGTCAGCACGGTCGCGTCTCGGAAACTACGCTAACACAAACGGTCTGCGGGCCACTCACCTCGGATGCTTTGGTTTGAGAGTCTCTGTTTCGGGTATTGTTTTAAGCAAGCCCCTGCCGGGTATTTTAACTAGTGCCAAAACTGCCTGAAAAGACTAAGCCAGAGCCCGCGTGACTGCACCGTGAAACGTATCGGTGGCCGCCAGCCCGGCAGAGAGCCTGTCGGAAGGATCTCCGGTTTGGAGTTCCGCTGGTAGCGCAGGAAGCGCTGGTCTGTCGAGCGCTATGGGACGGCAGCAGCTGCCATGACGGAATTGCCCCCCTCAGCCAGGCGCTGTCGCGTTAAAGCGTTACTGACTGCGCTTTTCCACGTACTGTGGAACCAGAAAGCCTCACGCCTAAATCGGGAAGAGCTTCGCTTCTGTCCTCCCGGGGAAAAGCAGACGCCGAGTGACCGAGCGCTCCCTGGTTAGAACGGCCAGTTCGGCACCCATCGCGGCAACGCCGCCGCCGCCACGTCCTGCGGAGAAGTCCTCTCGGCAGCGGGGTACCCGGCACGTTTGCCACACGCTATGGCTGAGCCGCGCTGTGGACAGAGCCTCCTCCGAGATCGCTGCGCTAGGCTGGACACCCGCCTGCCCAGGTGACGGACGCTGGCTCGCGTGCTGGCTGCAGGCCAACTGTGCTCACCTAAGCGAAGCCAAGAGGAGGAGGAGTTCCAAATGTTTTCCCACTCCTGGTAGCAGGGAAAGACCCATCTAACCAGCCAGGAGCAACTGACCCCCCCCCCCCACTAACCTCTATTTTGCAGCTCGCTCTGTGTGAGCACTGCTGGTCTTTTTAGGGTTGGAGACAATCTCCACCCCTCTGTCCTAGTGCTGGACGGTGTGAAAGCTGCAGGCTGCCCTCTCTGTCTGTCTCCTCTATTTAGGTGCCTTAGGATCGCTGAAAGATGATGGAAATACAGGTCTGAGAAGGCAAAGCTACCGAGAAAGGGAGAGGGATGAAGGCCACGTGACGCACGAGCACCGCGTCCACCAAAACCGGCCTGCACGCCCACCCTTCTGGTTCGCACTCCTGGCGGGCGGAAGGCCAAAGCCTCAGGTTTGCAAGGGTGCCTTTCGCTCAGCCTGGGTGTATCGCAGGCGCCTTCCCGTCGCCTTTGTACCTGCACAGAAAGGACCGCAGGGCCATTCCAAAAGGGCTCCTTCCCAGTACCCAGACTGGAAGTGTCTCCAGCCGCTCTTCAGAGAATAAGTTTCTACCTTCTCGTATAAAGGTAGCAAAAAGCACGTACGTAGGCTACGTGGTTAGTGCTGAGAGGACAAGGGGGCTAAAAAGCCTGTCGCCATCTACCCCAGGTGAGCCGCTCGGCCTAACGGGTCTGTCTGCTAAGAACACAGTTCAAGCACGCCGGGCAGGCACCGCGGTTTCAGGGGCGGGTCTCAATCCAGCGAAGCACCGTGCTCCGCAACCTTGCCTCTGCCAGTACGGGGCCCTGTTTGTAGCAACGGCACATCGCGTGTCTCCCGGGCTTCCCTGGGCTCGCTCTGAAGCAGGCAGGTGGGGCCAGGGGGTCAAATGGCAGAGCGCAGCCCCGGGCTGGCACAGGCTGCCCGTCGGTGCGTACCCTGTCTGCAGCGTAACTGAGGTACAGGTGAGG